AGGTTTTATTCCCAACTGCTCTTCCATATAACAGTTAGAATGTTAGTGTAAGTTTCACAGCAGAAGAATCTATTTTAATCTATTTAGATCTGAATATTAATGCTAACTTTTTTTCTTAAAAAATATTACTTTTTCTGGCTTATAAAACCCCTAATATAAAAATATAACTTTTTTTTTGTTTAAAAACATATTTAATTACTATTCTAACACTACTTAAACTCTGTACTATAATTTACATAAATTACACTCAGAAAATAACTCAAACAGCTATTTTAAAGGAAATTACTGAATAAAGGTTACACCTCTTCAGTGTTGCATTTTCTTATTTTTGTTGGTTCCTTATTTTTTTCTCTCTACTGGTTTTTATAATTTCCACTTAAAACCTTAAACAATCTGTAAGCCAATTTTTAAAATAAATGTACCTCAAGCTGTTTGACAACATACTTTGCTTTAAATTTTATAAAATGTTCATACTTTTTCATGAGTTAAATTTTGTTTATAATTACCTTTCCCTTATCTGTAATTTTATGCATTTGATCTGTATACCAACTAGATTTCATTTTAATTCTACCTACAACATCATCAATGCCACAACCGTACATATTAAAAACTATTCTCACTTAAGGCCTGGAACTAATTGTAAATGATCCATTAGCTTTATAATTGATATGTGCACAGTATTTTGGTTTTCTAACAGCAAAATAGGAAAGATCATCATAACTTAACATTCTAAACTTGTTGTGAAGTGCCAGCCATGCAGGGCTGAGGCCCATCACTTAAGAACCTTATATGAAAGTCATCATTAATCACTAACATATTGGTGAATGGAACTCTAAAATATGTATTGGCTGGTTTCAAGAGATGTTAACAGATTCAACAACACTGTACTTTTTCTTTACAATTTAAATATTCACCTGAAAGGAATAGAAACTCATAATTGAGAAAAAATCATTTCACCTTTGTTTAGCCAAGCATTAAGTAATCCATATATTACATGACAATTATACTTTTAACAACAAAATTTCTTGTACTTTTCAACTAAATCAATATTACTGAAAGTTCTACCTTTTCATGAAGTACACTCACATTCATTATTATAAATTAAATTATAAAATAAAATTACAACAAATCACATACTCATTAACCAACTGGGGAAGTGCATTGTATTTTAAACATAAATATGCTAATGTTTGTCTTTCCTCTTGGCTCATGGAATCAAATTTCTTTTTCTTTGCATATTTTTATTTTTGCACCCCTCAATTTCTGCATTTCCTTCAACTCTGCAACCAAGCCAAATATTATTCTAATCAATCAAAATCATTTCCAAAATTTTATATAAACACTTTTACTCATCATGATTAAAATCTAGAAAATTTAAATTTCACACAACATAGCTTACATCTATAAATCATAATATTTGCAGTAACTTTTGCATCTTGTATATTTTATGCAAAATACATTACTTATAGGTGCTAACTTCAAAACATCATACTGCAAGTTTAGATAACAATAATATGTTAGGTGAGGCCATCAAACATTCTTTATATTGTTACGACAGCAGAAGTCACGTGACGCTGGGAGCATGTGTGACAGAGTTTCTAGAAGGATCGTGACTTATTGGGTAACCTCACGAATGTCCCAGCATTTGCTAGATGCCCTCTTTTTTAGTATTTAAGCCAAATATAGATGGAAGAGTAATAATTGATAATGGTAGTTGTGAATTGCTGTGAATTATAGCATGTGTTTATAAAAGTAGTTAAGTTTAAAGTGACTGTGGAAATTAAGTGTATTACAAAGTTTGTAACAAGAAAGAATAAACTAGTTTTAATCAAGAAGGGACTTGTATCGCTGAATTTTTACCGGAAATTATCAAACAAGCAGATATGCAACAAACTGGTGTCAGAGAGTGGGATAAAAAAATAAATAAAAGAAGAAGATGGAAACAAAAAGTGGCAAATCAAACTACAGCTTAGCATATTTGATGGCAGCAACACAAGAACAGCAAAAGAAACAAGAAGAATGAGAAGATAAACAAGAAAAGAGATTACAGCAGTTGTTGGAGGAAAAAGAAAAGAAACAAGAAGAGAGATTACAGCAATTGTTGGAGGAAAAAGAAAAGAAACAAGAAGAGAGATTACAGCAATTGTTGGAGGAAAAAGAAAAGAAACAAGAAGAACGAGAAAAAAACAAGAAGAGAGGCAACAGCAGTGGCAAGAAAACCTGCAACAATGGCAGCTCAAACAGCAAAATAAACAAGAGAGACTACAGCAGTGGTTGGAGGAGAAAGAAAATAAACAAGAAGAAAGTATCCAACAGTTGAGAGAAAGCCAGCATACACAAATGGAAAAGATTAGTAAATTTCAAAGTTAATTAAATACATTAAAGGATGATTTACTGTCTTTTACACAAGGAGGATATATTAGCCATCGAACTAATCCGTCCCAGACAATGGGAAGCTTCTTCCAGACCCCGCAGCTAAACCCTAATTCAGACATCTTTAGTTCTGTCAGAAGTCACATTCCAGACATAAGCATCAGCAATAGGGGGTGATCTAGTATGAAGGAAGCCACAGGAATTCGATGGGAAGGCATAGTGGGAAGCATACAGAGCACAATTTGAGCTCTTGGCAGAAATGAATGGATGGACAGAGGAGCAGAAAGCAGTGTACTTGGCAACGAGCCTGAAGGGACAACCACTGGAAATACTTGGACAGTTGTCAGCAGATGACAGGCACAACTATAGAGCACTGGTATCTGCTCTAGAACTCAGGTATGGAACTCAAAATCAGTTCGAAGTCTACAGGGCTAGGTTTAGGACAAAAGTCCATGCTAAAGGGGAAAGCCTGCAAGAGCTGGCACAGGATTTGGAAAGTATGGAACACAAGGCCTACCCAACTGTGCCACCCGATGTCCTCAAGTTGTTGCTGAGGGATCAGTTTGTAGAGGACTTGGACAGTCCACAACTAAAGATACAAGTGAAGCAAGCACACCCCTCTACTATATAGGATGCAATGGCCAAAGCTCTTGAATTTGAATCCTACATTATGTCAAGGCCAGAAAAGGTTAGCTTTCAGAGAAGTTTGAGGGACTTTGCTGGCACTGTAACAAACCTGGGCACAATAGAGCTCAATGCCGGCAACTTCAACACAGGGAAGATGCCACGGCAGGAACGGGAGCTACCCAGAAAGGTTGTTGGAACTGTGGAGAGCAAGGACATATGAGGAGCCACTGTAAGAAGAATACTACCAATAAGTCAGCCTTGGGGAAACCAGTAGTGATTGGTGCTGAGGGATGCCCACCAACCCCCATTGTGAAAGTCCCAACAGCTAAGTGTAAAATGGCAAGCACACATAGTGTCTACGTGACAGGAAAGCTACATGGCCAGAAGTGCAACTTTGTCATAGATTCTGCATCTCAGCAACCCCTTGTGAGTATCAAGGTGCTGGATCACAAAGGAGTACCAATAGCCATACAGAAGCTCTGTGATGTGACAGGACATTATACAAGATTGTTGGGACCAGTGTGGGTAGCTATTGAGCTCATGGACATGAAGGACAGACCAAAGTATATTTGGCTGACATTGAAGACCAATGCATATTAGGGTTGGACTACTTACTACCGAGGAAGTGTGTAGTTAATTTTGATAAAATGATGTTTGGGAACAACAAAGGCCAAATTCCGGTAAGTGTTAAAAGGGAGGTTGAACTAACCAGGTGCCATCAAGCTGAAGTCAAAGTGACTGAAGGAGTTGATGATGGTGAATTGGAACCAGATATAGATATTAAAGGAGAGCAGAAAAAAAGACCAAGATTTGAAGCCAATAATTGATTTTCTAAAAGCAAGTGTTTTGCACCCTGGTTGGGAGAAGGTGTCTAGCTTAAGCCCTGTAACAAAGAACTATTGGGCACAATGGGACCAGTTGAAGCTTGAAGATGGTAGTCTTGTCTGGAGATGGGAAACTGCATATGGGAAAGTGATGACCTGGAAAACAGTTATACCGAGAAAGTTACGGGAAGTTGTGCTGCGTCAATCCCATGATAGTTTAACAGGAGGGTATCTCGAAGTTAAAAAGACATTGAGTCACCTATGGCTGAGATTTTACTGGATAGGTATGAGG